GAATATAAGATTGAATGCTTTTATTTTTCGATTTTCTGTTGCACCAAAAAACAATTAAACTGATCAGTTTATTTTGATCAATTTTAATCGGACTTAAACAATTTAGTTTAGCAATAATCAAATTGCAGATTGTGTGGGAAACTATTTACTCCCTTCAAACGCATTTTAACGTCGATTATTCTAGTACCAAAGGGATTAGATATCAAACTTTACAGTGCCTGCCCATACAAACCTCAAGAATTCAAAACACAAGAAAAAGGAAGGAATCAAGCACTCATCATGAAGACAAAAAGGTCTTAGGTCAGCATTAAGGGGTGGAAAGTGAAATCTCCAGTTTTAAGTATTTCATTCAATCTATATATATATTTTTTTTCATCCGCAATGAAAAGAATATAAATCCAGTATCATCAGATACCATAATATGTACCAAAAAAAAGATACAATAAAATGGTTAAGCGGAGGTTTAGGGGTCAAGAATCTTAGATGGTTTAATATGGCGTTGCTTGGCAAATGGTGGGTGAGATTAATAGGGGGAGACAAGGGTTTGTGGTCTAGGGTGCTTTTAGAAAAATATGGTGGCAAGGGAGGAAATTGGATATCTTGAATGAAAGAGGGTAGGGGATTAGGATCATTATGGTGGAATGATATTTGCAAACTGAATACAGGATTACGTAGTAAGGATGGGTGGTTGCTCTCAAATTTCAACCTAAAATTGGGGGATGGGAAGAGTATTAGGTTTTGGTTAGATGCATGGGTGGGCAAGGATTCACTAGCTAATGTTTTTCCAAGACTGTTTTTGTTGGATACAAACAAAAACTGTAGCATCTACGATAGAGGTCATTGAACTGATGGATGTTGGTGTTGGAGGTTTCAATGGAGAAGACCGCTTAGAGCATGGGAGAAGGAAAAACTACAACAATTGATCGAGACCATAAATCACAAAAAACCAATGCAGGACATGAAGGACACTTGGAGATGGAGGCCTGATAACAAAAGAAAATACACCACAAGGTCAACTTACGAGCAGTTTGCAAAGAAAGAGGAAACTACGTTGCTGGAGTATAGAAACATATGGAGTATGCAAGTCCCATCAAAAGTGAGAGCATTTTCATGGCAACTGCTTCTAGATAGAATTCCTACAAAGGTTAAGCGGGGTATTCTGGATGTCAACCAAGGTATAAAATGTTTTTGGTGTGATCAATTTCTTGAACATATAGATCATCTTTTTGTGTCATGCAATATCTCATTCAAATTATGGACTAAATGTCTAAATTGGTGGGGATTATATTATGTTTTAGGGAATACTTGTCTTGATGTTTTCAACCAACACAGATGGCATGAGGACTTAAATATTTTGAAAAGGGTAGGAACATGTTATGGTTTACCATAGTGTAGTCATTGTGGTTGAGTAAAAATGAAATTGCTTTTCAACATAAGAAGGTAAATGAGGACAAACTATTTGAACTTGTACAAATCCGTTCATTTTACTGGGTTAGAATTTTTGTTGAAATTAGAAAATTTTTCTTTCGTAGAATGGATTTCCAATCTAGTGAGGTGCTTGATAAATAGGAAATAGAGTTTAGATGAGGAGCTGAATTCCAGGTTTCCTTTTTGGGACTGCCCTGTGATTTTGTTTTTGATTCACTTCCTAGATGTAACTTTATATAATGATGTCAATGGGTTTGAGTACCTCTTGTAGTCACATAATAAAATTCCTTTGCTTTTCCAAAAAAAAAAAAAAGGAAAAGGTTAAGCGGAGACAACATTCACAAGGAAGAGGAGAAAAAATTAATGGAAAAATGATTGGAAATATTATAGGCGAAGAAAAAGCGTTCCATCACAAGACCTAGTTCTTCTGAAATTATGTTGAAAAACTGCCAAAACTACAAAGGTTAACTGTAGTTGCCAGGAAGATTCAGATAAACATACAAGCAAAAAGGGTTTTACCTCTAGAAAAATAAAATTCTGAGATTTACTCTTCTTCTGCATCTTTATTTTTCTTCTTCTTTTTCTTCTCACTTTTATCAGCTCCAGCGTCACCTTTACCATTAGCAACATCAGATGCCTCCTCAATTTCTTTGCTTTTCTTTTCCTTCTCTAACTTTTCTGTTTTTGGTGACCCAACTTCAACCTTCTGTTTTTGCTTCTTTTTCTTCTCCTTCTCAGTCTTCTCTTCGGTTTCTGCATCATTTCCCTCCTTATTCTTCTTCTTCTTTTTCTCCTTCTGAACTTCAACTTCTTTGACTCCTGCTTCTTTCACCTTCTTCACCTTCACTGTCTTTTCTTTCTCAACTTCTTCGATTTTATCTTTCTAACAGCAGCTGGAGCAGGGCTGTCACCACTTTCATCTAATTTGCACTTGTGACTACAACCATCTTTCACATCCTCACTCTTTTTCTTCTCCTTTCCACCATAGTAATCTCCTTTTCTACTGCAGCAGTCTCTGCTGGTGCAGCTGCAAGATTAGCAACCACAGCATCCCAATCTATTGGCAACACCACATTTCTCAACCAATCCTTGGGAGTTATTTTCATTTGGCTTTCAATGCTTATCCAATTTACCCTCAAATATTAATTTCTTCTTCATAGATGTAGTTGGTCCCAATCCCCACTTCCTAGGATAGGTATCCCAATCCATTACAACCTTCTTAATCTTAGCCACAACACCATGATCATAAGTAGCCATCACGGTAGTTGTCATCTGTGCAATCTCTAAGACAATTGCCTCCCTTTTGGTAGTCATCAACACCACTTCCTCCCCAACCTCAATATCTTTCTCAAATCTCAATAGCCTTGGAATCATCAACTTAGAACCATAGCAAATAGCATTCATAGCAGAGTCCTTCACCACCAACCTCTTATAACTATTCAAAAGCGCTCAAGAGGCATAATCACTCTCCTCAAATAGCTCTCATCTCTATAATTATCATAGACCCACTATGCATCCATAACATCATGCATAGTCACCATATTATCTCTCTCACCCAAAATTCCAGACCTCAACCTATTAAGCTCCTACATGCCCTGTTAAATAGTTTGTAAATGTTTAAGATCCCACATCAAGAAAGTATGAGAACTTAAAAGAGTTTATAAAGACTTACTTTTTATCAATAAATAATTAAGTAAAGTGAAATCTAAAGTAAATTGGACTTTGTCTCTTTATATATAGTCAAAAGATTGGCACCTTTGGGCTCGACTGTCAGAATATCATTAATTTTTTATTATTTTTGGATTTTTTATTTTATTTTATTACATTAAAATTTGAAAAAACATGTTTGAAAATCAGACATAATTATTGGCAGTCAAAAGGTACCTCTATGAAATGATACTTTTCTAGAGGAATACATTCCTACAAATACTGATTTTACAGGCATTATAAATTCCTATGCAAAGTCAGAGTTTTACATTTAATTTTGAGAGAGTTTTAAGTTCTGTTGTATTATGTGAGATTTTAAATTCTTAAAGAAAGTGATATCACATTTCAAAACAATTCTTTTATTCTTCTACCATTTCATATTTTTCTAACATGCCCACCAACCCCAAATGTACAGAGAGTCCTAACTTAAGTACTCGCCTCACAAGAAATCCAGAAAACAACCAAATGTCTATCCACATCATACTCAAGCAACTTACTTTCGTAAATGGTCCTGATCCTAAGTTGCCTCTTGACCGCAGATATCAATGGCGGCCTCTGAAACACAGCGCCAGTTAATGTCTCAAGAGCACGAGCCACCTTGGCAACGTCAGGAACCTTGGAATGCAACCGGGTGACACAAAAATACTCTTTCCCTGCACCCTGTTGCGATTTGAGATCCGGGTGGCTTTGTCAATGCAAACAATGAGATTTCCTGTGACTTTGGGGCCCAAAGTACCACCGTGGCCAGTCTTCTCGACGCAAAAAATGCGCTTGATCCAGGCAACAACCTCGTGCGAAGATGGGTTAGCTGGTTTATCAAGGTTCAGTATACCATACCTGCTGTATTCAGCGACAGGTCACTCAATAGGGGAGTACCCTGACGGTGAGGGGTATGGTGACCAGTCCGAACGTTGAGGCAGTCATAGTTCTTGAGGAGGATGGGCCAGTTGGAGGTGTCGATGGGTGGAGTGAAACTCTAGGTTTTGATTAGGAAATCAGTGTCAGTCACTGGAGCTGTGTGGACGGAGGCGGTGGTGTACGTCTTTGGCGTTGGCTTCCGGTATGGATATTTTTTTTTTCAAGTTAATTTAACAAAGGAAAATGATGTATGCACATTCTGTCATCATACCCTCCGTCATACACTCACTTCGTCTCCGTTTCTCTCCATTTATCTCCATTTCTTTCGTTAACCCAACAGCTCTTCTTTTCACCCAATACAACTTTCCTTTTCACCCAGCCCTGGTTCTTTGATTTTCTTTCCCTCTCCTCCCCCTCTTCTTCCTTCTTTTCGTCACTTCTATCTGGGTTATGCATCTAGGTTGCAGAACCCGTTTTGGGTTCTACTGAATGGCAAGGTGGCAGAAGAGGAAGGGAAGGAGCAAGAACTCACCGCTATTAAGGGTCTTTAGAGTTATCAGAGTAAATAACGGAGTTAATAAATTAAGTAACGAAATGAGATTGTGTAACGGAGGGTAAGGAATTGCGATGTGTGCCAATCATCGTCCTTTAACAAATCATCTATTAATTCTATGAGAAAATATATAATCCTCTAACTATTTTTTTTTATTTTTCAGTCTTTAAATTTATATCCACTATAAAAATAGTTTTTATTATTATCTTGCTAAATGTGTTTTTTAGAAAATTGTTTTACAGAGTAGACTATATGCAGTCTGTCTTGTAAAATTATTTAAATACCCTTAATTTTATTTTTATATTATTTTTTTAAAGACATTTAAATAATATTATACAATTACACAACTTATTGTAAATTTATAATATTATATAGCATTATAATTATAATATTTTTAAAAAAATTAAAAAAAATGTTTTTTAAATTAAAAGTATGTTGATCACACTTTTCTTATTAATTAAAAGTATATAAATCCAAGCACCTGTCCTGTAAAACAAACTTATTCTTAAAACTTCTCATTCTAAACTTACTAAGTTTTTCTATTTAAATTGAACTAGCTGCTCAAGTTTATTACAAATTCAAATTAATCTATCTATATAAAATATTTCTCTATAAAATATTTCTTAAATCATCATATTTTATTAGAATTATAATGTCATTTTTTCAAAACTTAACAGACTATTCTTTCTGTTAAATCTAACAAAATTTTGTACGGTAGATTATTTTGAAATATTCTCCAAAGTTTATAAACTATTTAGAAAGAAAATAAACTTTTTAAACTAAAATAAAATTAAACTGATAGTTAATAGACAAAAAATTGAATTAAGCCTTTGTTTTTTCTCTGAAAGGGAAACGTCGACCTCAAGCATGATGAAATTGAGAAAATGAGGGTTTAACTAGGGTTTTGCAGGAGGTGAACAAGGAGAGTACCGGAGACGGAAGTAGGGATTTTATGGGCAATGGTTTGGGTTTAGAGAATAAGGGGATGGGAACTACTTGGGTTTCGGTTCAACTAGGGCTTCAATTGGATATAACTGGGTTCGGACTTTCGACTTCGGACTCGGAGCAAGTGAACACTTCAGCCCAACCCAAGTAATCCAACGTCAAATAGACAAATACCTAAGTACTAGTTTTTTTCTTTTTCTTTTTCTTTGGCAAATTATGCAAATCAACCTCTCTACTCTATTAAGGATCACTCTTTCAACTTTTTCACAAGTAAATATCCCCTTCTTGTTGACGATCTATGCAAATTAACCCTTCTTTCACTAGTTAGTTGGTATCATAAACTAGTTTTTGTATTTCATGCTAAGTCTACCTAGATTTTTTTCTTTCCCATGGCCTTTTTCTCCTCTCATCTCAAGCCTCTTCTCACCCCCTTTTATAGTTTTGGGCCTATGATTCAGTGAATAGAGAGGATTGATGAGGGAACAAGCAGTGGCGGAGCTAGGGAGGTGCGAGGGGGGGCACTCGCCCCCCTGAAATTTGAAAATCTTGTAAATTAGTAAATAAAAAATTATCTAGTCTCCCCTGAACTTTGAAAATTTTAGTATTTTGCCTCCCTGAAAAAAATTTCTTCCTCCGCCCCTAGGAACAAGGCAAGGGATGGGTCAAAAGTGTTGAGGACCCAAATGATGGATTGGATTGTGAGAAGTTTTCTATTGTACGTGCTTACTTGAATGTAAGTGATCATGATATATGAGTTTGGATTATCTTACATCTATATAAATGTCATGTTCCTATTAATTTGCAGTTTGATCGTGTGACTATTGAAACAGATTGCCAAGCTTCTTTTCATTTACTTTCTAGTACTCCAAATCCTTATCATCCTCATAGTACTCTCATTATGAGTTGCAGGACCCTTTTGAATATGATTCCTTATGTTTATCTGAAACATATCTTTAGGAAATGTAATATGCACTACAAGAATGTAACCCCATTTGCGTGAGAAAATATGGATGTAGATAAAAGGAAAATTGACGCAAGTAGAAAAATAAATGCGTCAGCTATGTGGACGCTTATTCTAACTTTTAAAAGTGCATCACAAATACATTTTTATCAACATGAAAAGGGTTGAGATTGATATTTAAAACAATTGCTT